GTCACCTGCACGAATATTTTCGAATACTTAAAAATTTAATGAAAATATTTGGGACAAATTACAATTTTGAGTTTAACATGCTAGAGATGGTGCCCATATTTAAAAAGTGGCGGGAAGTAAACTCTAAAACACCCCTGTCTGCCTCTTTCGTGTCAAAACAGGGCTTTCCAGATACCGCGTAATATGACGTCACACATTATTCATTAACATTTTGGTAGCCCACACGAAATGCTAGTTTCACATGTGCAAAGCGGTGTAAGTAGTTTCTGTTTATAATTTCAAGTTTTTAAAGTTTATTCGAATGTGAAATATTGCATTATGATAAAAGTTGTAGAAAGCATTAATATATAATCACGGTGCATGCTTTTCGTGACGATGGTTGCTAAAAATAGCTGGGCATCATGTTACGAGTGTCAGAAATCAAAACAAGATGACCGATGATGTAGAAAAATGTGAATTTTGATATATTTATGTTTCAAGATGTAAGTAAATTTATAAATTTAATACTTTTTATTGTATTTGTTGAATTTTATGTGAAAAAATCGGACATAAATTGTTAAAGTAGGCGTATTTCATAAAAAAATACAAACAAAATAGTGTGCTTCTGTTGAAACGGTGTCAAGGTAAAATGATCCTACCTGTCTCAGATTGAAATTGCTTTGCAATAATGACTTGGTTTCTGTTGATTACAAGTTATTACGAGTGATAAAATTTGTAACCATATATTGTGCTCATAATGACTTATGAAATTTTTTCTTTATTTTAATTATTCTATTATAAAATATTTCTACATCATGCACAATGTAGTCCAGGCTCTCAATCCAGTTTGGGGGAAGTGGTTCGCTACCCAAAACAGGGAATTTTAGTGTGTGGGGGCAGGTTTTTTTCCTTCTATAGCAGGGGCCGTTATAGGGCTGCTTCCCCAAAGAAAAATTCTTTGAAATCATGCAGTTTTCCCCCAAAAAATGAATTTACATCGAGTTTTTTCTTTCCCTTGACAAATATTTTGTGTATTTTCCCCCAAAATTAAGGGCAGGGCTGCTTCCCCAACCAGTGAAAAAAAGCCCTGGGGGTATTTTGTTTCATTTCCTTTTAAAATATCAATAAACTACCAGGTAAATATCAGTGGTTTTTTCTGATACGACTAGCTTAAGAGACTTCAACGAACAGGTTTTATACTAGACCTGTTCGCTGAAGCCAATCCTGTATTGAAAGTCAACCAGAACTGTGACATATTAATGTCATGCTGTAATTCAATAAATTTGTGTGATCTGGACAAAAGCTTTTTTAATACAGGTAGTTAGATATATTTGGGACTCTGTAGTCTATATTTTTGAACACAGAATGTTAGATTGATGAAATAATGCCTCAAAGTTTATCAGTGAGTTCACATTTCATAAAATTCACCACCATTGCTGCCCTAATTATCACGTGACTAGCAAGAATTTAGGTTTAGATACCTTTGCATGACATTTGGTGATCTGTGACCCAAATGCTACATGGCTTTGCAATTATGAATAACGGTGTATTTATTCAATAACAGACATTGTACCAAAAATATGTTGGATTTATATTGTTTTGAGTGATGATTCATGAATTATTTGTTTGTTTTTATTTAAAATCGTACACTTACTTTAAAAAATAGATGCTAGAATTCCAAAAACTTGAAGTCCTGTGAGATTTCATTTGAAAGCAGACTCCATATTGGTAAACATTCTCTACATATTTTCCTTACAAATAGTTGGGTACACAATGTCATTGAAGTTTCATTTAAAAAAAAAACATGAATTGATTCAAAATTGATTTGTTAATCAAATGGTATTTTTATTTGACCCAAATTTGATTAATAAGGGTGATTTTAATAGGTTTTTATGTACGGCACACAAACTGCCAAATGCTGGTAGCCTTTGCAAATAGGGTTGACCCATAACTTTACTGTTGCACAACGTAAAAATAAAAGCAACATATAAAGTTATGGATGCCAGAACTATGATACAACCTGCTATTTTGATACATTTTGAGAACAAACATTGATGATCGAACGATGTGAAACGGTGTAAACATGCACTATTCCACTGACAAAAAGACAGATCAATTTTAATTGTCAAAAACAGCATAACTTTTCAAACTTTTTTTAATTGAATTTATATATTATGTTTTGAGGGAATTTTTGCTTCTGTTTAAGGGAAAAAAAGCAGACTTTGTAGATTGAGGGCCCTGGTAGTAGACTTTGATGATTAACTACAGTGTTTTTTTTCTTTATATAACTACTACCCTAAAACGGTACCATTCCCAATAGAAAATAGACATTTAAATTCCCAATTTCCAATGTTAAATTCCCAAAATGGCTGTTCAAAATGCCCACAAGGCAAAGTGATTTTTCTAAAATCATTTAAATCCAACATATTCATATAAATCACCACTCAATAGTTCTATCTAGACAGTAGAAGCTGTTAGCTATCTTTATTCATGATGTCTAATCTCATTTGTAGCTGAAAAAATGCATTAAAAAAATTCCCAATTTTAGTCAAAATAACGCATTTTTTCCCAATCAGTATGGTACCGGCACCATTCCCAAAGTAGAGAAAAAATACGCTGAACTATCTGGAAAACCAGTACTTGAATAGACCCCAGGGTCTCAACCAGAATATACCTTACTTTCATTCCGTTTTCTCTAATTATATTTAAAATCAAGTGTTACTCCAGATATATAGCCAGGAAATTGCTGAACTTTCTTTCGCATTTGAAACATGGAATAAGTTCAGATGCCAATAAAAACGCCCTCTTTCCTTTCTGAGACTAGGTTGTCTCCAAAACTTTCTATTTTTATTTATTTTCTTATTCTTCCATGGTAAATATTATATGGTTATTAATAAATATTTAAAAGTAAATATTAAAATTCAAGGCTGAATGTTCAATAAGTTTTATCTTACCATTTTGGGATCTGCAGAATATAATCCTACCCCTAGAATTGTTTTTGACAAAATTGAGAAATGTTCTCATCCAGTATAATTCAAATTAAAAAGCTTTTCACCATTATTTTTTTAATATTTGAAACAAACAACTGATTATTTACTTTGGTTAACAAATTGGCCTGGTATAAATATTATTTGTTAGGTCAACCAGTGTACCCACTGCCTGTTATTAGGGTATTTTTACCCCTTTCCTTGGAAAAGTGGGGGTAAAATCAAGTCCGAAAGTTCATAAATTTGTAGTATATTTGAAGTATGCGGTTGACAAATATGCATAGATTTGTCAGACACAAACAAATTTATTTCACAGTAGCTTGATGATCTATACATGCCCTCATAAGAAAGGTATTCTCAGATTGGCTAATGATATTCTGCATCTCCACATATACTTTACAGGTACTGAATCACTTACTGAAACAGTCAAGCAACAACTTTAAGGACTTAGTTTTTCGGCAATAATTCACCGGCTCATTGTAAATCAATTTTATTTTTATAAAAAGTTTTATGGTATCATTGCCCTTGTGAAAATGTATTTGTAAGAGATGTCTCAGTTTATGTCCCTTTACTTTAAACTTACTAATGTTTGAAGTATGGACAATGGTTAATTGATAAATTGATACCTAGGACTCAGTGTTTCTTTTCTTTATATAACTACTACCCTAAAACGGTACTGTTCCCAATAGAAAATAGACATTAAAATTCCCAATTTCCAATGTTTAAATTCCCAAAATGGCTGTTCAAAATTCCCACAAGGCCAAGTGATTTCTTTGAAATCATTTAAATCCAACATATTTATATAAATCACCACTCAATAGTTCTATCTAGACAGTAGAAGCTGTTAGCTATCTTTATTCATCATGACTAATCTGATTTGTAGCTGAAAAAATGCATAAAAAAATTTCCAATTTAAGTCAAATAACGCATTTTTTTCCCAATCAGTCTGGTACCGGTACCATTCCCAAAGTAGAGAAAAAAACGCTGGGACTATTATCATATGTCTGTTACATAACTCAAAGTCCTCCTGTCTTCGTAATATAAGCCAGAAATAAGTTGTGTCCAATTTGCCATTGAACTAAATATTCTGTTATGTTTATGTATTTGTTCCTATTGTAACTTTGATGAATTTATGAACTGTTTATAACCTTGAAACTGTGAAAGAGTGTTTTTGAGAAAAAAAATGTAATTTATGCTTACAAAAAGCTTGTTACCATTATGTTGTAAACCAGATCTATCTTTATTATGATGGACAGCCCTATAGAGTTTATATTGATTTGTTGTACATTATTATCATGGGTTTCCTTTTTATTTACAGAATTTAAAATCAAAGTTAGGGAAACTCGGCTCTGTGTCATAATTGTATTCAATAATGGTAGCATAAAGTATTGTATAATTATTATAAATTACCTTTATAAATGTTTATTACATTGAAGCTTCTATTGTTTGGCATTAGTTTATATCAATAAACTATGTCACAACATGTTTACTAATTAAGATAATCATGTTGATTGCATATAGAAGGGAGGTAATTCATACAGACATAATGTGATAATGTATTCATGGTAAGTGGACTATGACAGATTAATATATATTTATATCATATGACAAGCAGTCAGTATTTAGTCATTCAACTTACCAAACCTGTTTCTGTTCAATATATTCTTAAATCAGACATGTTTGTTGCGTAAATACCTAGAAAATGTCTCATTGTCTGTAATAAATCCATCACATGATATTATGAGTATTTGGTAAATAAAGTGATATTTTAGATGAGATCTACATTAAATAAAGTAACTTTCAGTCATTCAACATCAGTTTGTTTCCTTAAGAAAGTTAAATAAGGAAGACTTTTTTTCTCTACTTGATTCTGAGCCAATTTAAGCAAACATTATTTCTGTATTGTAAGGTTACGATGTGTATGAAATTATTGATTACAGGACTTTAATCCTCAACTAGTGTATTTATTTTAACCCCAATAATCCTCTCAATTACTGGACAAAGTTCTGTACTGTTGATAATATACAAAACAATAACTGTGTTTTATTTATATTGACACAAGAAGTGTGTTTTAGTGCCTTAGTATATATAACATAGCAGCGTGTTATATTGATTAAGGTTGAATCATGTCTCTATGTAAAACTGTATACACACTGTACTGTATCTGTTGCTAAATGTTTTTCATTCATACTTGACTCACTCAAGCTGAACTACCATGGAGATAACAGAAAAATGTAGCTGATTATCTGTCCTACACAAAAATTGTAAACATTATAGCTTGTATTTCATAGCCAAGTTAAAACAAAACAAGGATTATATTTCAGTTTATAGTTAAAAGAGTCAGTTAATAAAAGTAGAGTTTTAATGGAGTAAATAGCTGTAGAGTACAGGTATAGAATTTCTTATTTAATATTTAAAAAAAAACTGTTTATGTTTAAATTGTTTGTTTATGTATAGCAGTTCTATAAACATAAATGAAAGTAACGACTTCGGGAGATATTGACGTTTGTTTAATTTCACAAATATTTTTTTAAGTCGTTAAAAAATATTTTTGTATTATTTTATTTTGTTATATTTGTTTTGTAAAAAAATATATGCTGGCAGTCCTCATCATTTTAAAAGAAATCTGACTTTCTATTTGACATAGTATTATCTATTATTTATACTTAGAAGTAATACAGAAATTTTGATGTTGAATTATGATGTCAAACTGATAATGAATACAGGTAGTAAATTATTTGATATTAACTAAGTATATACATGTACTACCCATTTGTATGTAAAATTGCTGTTGATTTTGTCCAGCTAGATTTGCTGTGTTGATTTTTTCACAAGTGTTTGATATATATCTGTGACATTAAAATGATTATAATCATTCTGTGACTACTATTCTTTCTTTTATATCATGTCAGCCTTTGTCTGACTAACCATTTAGTAATAAGGTTGTCATATTTAGTTCAATTCCTACTCCACAGTTAGTGGTTTACAGTTAGTTTATCCCTATTGTTTACTAATCATCACCATCATTATGCATAAGTTTCATCTGAATATACAATATATACATTACCTCAAACAAGGTCAGTGGTTCAGGTAATTAATTGTGCTTAATATATGATACATTCATGATTGACAGGCTCTTGATGCCTTAATCCAACACTAAAGCTGAAAAATTGTCATATGACATTAAAAATATAACCCATATATTAACAAATCAAACAAAATGATATGCGGTATACTAGGTTTATATAATGATTGGTCATACATAGCTTACATTCTCTATGTTACACTGAGCCAAAGAAGTTCAGTCCACATTACTGGAATCACATATACTAGTATAAATTAATTTATAGATGGAACAATATTTTTCTTTAACATCATTTGTTTATAATTAAATTAACTTCCCTTAAATTGACATTGTGGTTAATTGGGTTTCCAGCAATTAGTATGAAGCTATGTTATTAATTTACCATGTAACCAGTATGACTCATCAAATTTTATTTTATGTCATTGTCTATTAGATTAAATTTGATATTGTACACCTTATCTTCATTGTAAGCTTCCGTTGCCAAGTGATACAGCAATAGAAACTTCACTTTTATAAACATCATAGTTTGGTAATGCAAGTCATTCAAGTTTGATAATTAGTAATTTAAAAGGTTAAATGATTTTTGTAAAAAAAAATTCTAGATTGAAAATATTATGTAGGTGTTGATATTATCTGATCCTCTCGAAGTTTGTTGAGTGATAACTTACAATTTCAACTGAAAATAACTTTGCTATTGAAAAACTTTAAAATGCAATTTCAGGTGCGGGTTCCGGCTTGAAATAATGCATGGAGGGGCTTGGTTCTATACATGTGCTGGTTAGGGCCTGCACATGTAAAGCTGAAAAGTTGCCATCTGACTTTTTAACAGTATTGGTGCCAAATAGAATATAACAAAATAAAATAAGAAAAAACATTTATTGTCCACTACTTTTAAAAATTCTTCTTTAAATAAGCGCTAATTTAACCTTAAAACATGTCTGGCTAGGTCATAATGATCTCTTGAAACTTTAAGTAAACAATTAACTATAAAAGATCTAACAGAATCATAGAGTCTGCAAGGACCTATCATTAGCTAATTATTATCAGGATAATACAGGTAATCACTATCAGGACAACACTATACGAATACTGAGGACATTGTATAAACATGTTTGACCTAAAACTTAAAGTTGTAATTCACTCAACCATTCACTAGTTCAGCTTCGATACTTGAATAGGGTCACTTATCTATAATATTGTGCTAATAAGGGTTTTTATTCAGTAGTTGAGTTATCATTTGTTAATCTTTTGGAAGTCCTATTTTCAATGCACCATAGGGCATTTATACAAAGATAGGGGGGTATTTTAGATTATTGTCTGATAAATGTTTAAACATTGAAATGACTATAACAATCATAGTAGCCCGTCATTGTTTTCATGCAGGTTTCACGTTACAACTTGTGAAAGAAACAACTGTTCTGAAAAAGATAAAACTTTGCTCTTAAACATGTTCACCTTTGACTTTTTAAAATTAATTTAATGGGTTTTTCAACACACGATATAATAAGTAAAGTACAGTTACCTAGTATTAGTCATACTGTATATTTGTCACTTGAAATAATACAATATCGTGCACAGTTCAAAATACTTAAGAGCAAAGTGTTTACAAATGTAACAGTTATGTTTAGTGAATAATTTATGATGATTTATAGTTAAACTGTCCTTGAAATAAGAAACTTGATTGAAATTACTTATATTTAAAACTAACATTTATATGTTTATTGTTTTTGCTGGGTGTAAATGAGATGTATGATAGATGTGGTTTTTCTTGACAATTTCTTGCACGCCAAATTCCTACAATAAACAAAGGTTTGGTTTATTCTGTACCAGTTTTTATAATGTTATGTAATAAATATATACAGTGAATATCCCAATCTGAATGTTGAGTAATGAATATATTACAGTTGAATCATTGATGTTAATTAATGCATGCATTATTCTGCCTCTAAACTTGAAACCATAAACAAATATAGTGTGCAAGACTTAAGTAAATGTTTCAGTTTTAGAGAAAACTGTCATCAACTGTTCTAATATAAATTGTGTGGAAAACCTTTCATCTTCTTTCATTGGTAGACACATTAAAAGTTCTAAATGATCGGCCAAAAATCACTTTACATTAAAATAGTGGAAGATGAAAATATGGATAGTATGAACAGCTTTTAATACATTAATCTCACATGGAATATTCTAAATAATTTTAAGATTTCATGTGGAAGTTGTTTGTGACTATTAGTTGACTCATACTGATTTTGGGGTCATGGTTCAAAGGTCAAGGTCACTGTGGCCTTTAACACAAAAACATTATTTGACCAATTACCATAAAGTGCATACAGTCCTAAGATTTAGTTAAAGTGATTGGTGAAGACTAATACTATTAGATTATTAAAGAAGTTAATTCAGTGTTATTAATGGAAAAATAGTTTGATAAACCTTTAATCAGCAGAAAAGTTGTGTTTTATCCCCAGAAGGTTTTTTTCATATAATGTATGATTTTTAATATGAGATATATTGTATGCAGCAGTTGGTACAGCATTGAGACTATTGACAGAGAAAATTAATCTTGTCAATCTAGCGCTGCTGTTACTGCTGCAGATTTCTACGTTAACTTCTCCATGTGCAATTTTCTTCACGTTTTTTTGTCGGACAGAAAATAATCAGCTTCAAGGATATTTACACAAAAACATGGCAAACCAAACAAACATTTAGTGTCGTTGCCAGTTAACATACAATCTGAATGTAAGGGGGAATGTACGGTAGAATGTTGTTATTCTCTCTATAATTGTTTACATACATGTTTTGTCTTGTGACTATGATATACCATCTGTCAACAGATTTTTCATGAGTTGTAATATTGTTGATTGAATTATGCCGCAGGTAGACATGAAAAAAGATCACGGTTTTTATGTACTGACTACATCATCCTTTATGTTCTATTTGCAGAAAGTCATGTTAACCAAAGACGAGTCATGAAATGCAGATAAAAAATACCTTCAACCTTGCTGTAATCCTATTATAAACAAGTGAGACAAAATGAAAAAGTAGTTGGGAAGAGTTTCATTACAATGACATTAGAGGTACAGACAAAAAGACTATGAAGATGAAATCGAACAATATGTTTCGAGATCAGGTGAACTCTGTAACAACATGGTTTGGGAGTTGGAGCACTTGTGAACAGACTGTAGTTCTGTACTCACTACTCAAATTGATACCACCACGTCATTGTCGGTTTTTAGTGCAGATGTTACAGCAGAGAATAACTGATGACAAAGATGTAGAAATACAAGAAGATGAAGCAAATGATCCAGGTAACTATTGTTTCTTTGTAAATACTTACACAATTTTACACACTTCCTTATAGTGCAGGAATAATTGTCTCACATTAATGACATTATGCATCACTCATTAAAAAACCAAGACTTATTATATATGAGAGAAATAAGCCAAGCATGTACCTTTTGTCTGTCCTCACACTGCCAGGTCAATACTGTGCTTTTTACTAAACTGACACAAAAATGGAGGAAGATATGTCCAAATTGCATTGATAGGACTTAGCAAGGTACACATGGCAGGTGTTTTGCAGTATTACCAGGGGTTAAAGACTTTGCTATTATGTGGGTATGAAGAGGCAGTGATTACAGTCGACTATTTCCATAGGCAAGTCAGTGTTAATGCTAGCATAGGCAAGTTAAAGTTAATGCTGGCATAGGGAAGTCAGTGTTATTGCTGACATACCTGGCAAGTCAGTATCAATGCTGGCATAGGGAAGTCAGTGTTAATGCTGACATAGGGAAGTTAAAGTAAATGCTGGCATAGGCAAGTTAGTGTTGACACTGGCATAGTGATGTCAGTGTTAATGCTGGCAAAAGGAAGTTAGTACTATTGCTGGCATAGACAAGTCAGTATTGATACTGGCATAGGCAAGTCAGTGTTGATTCTGGCTTAGGCAAGTCAGTGTCGATACTGGCATAGGCAAGCCATTGTTGATACTGGCATAGGCAAGTCAGTGGTGATACTGGCATAGGCAAGCCAGTGTTGATTCTGGCATTGGCAAGCCAGTGTTGATTCTGGCATAGGCAAGCCAGTGTTGATACATACGTAGACAAGTCAGTTATGATGCTTGTATTCAGTAAATGGTACAGTACAGGATACATACGTAGACAAGTCAGTTATGATACTTGTATTCAGTAGATGGTACAGAACAGGAAACCTCATATCAGTAAGATTCTATTTAGTAAAATCAATGCTTTCATAAAGAAATAATTATAGTTGTTATTTGATATCCCTGTTAATTTATCATTATTATGAAATTACTATAGGGAATAGTTCTATAGTAAATTTATAGTAAAATTGATACCTGCTAATTGTAAGTTTTTATTGTCATCCAAACAGCTTAATTAACTGTATGAAATAATTGAAACATTCAGTGAACCAAAGTATAGCTGCAAGATAAGTATCTGACATCTTGGCATTCATCAAAACAACATGAATTAAAAGGTTGATTTGCATTTGGCCCAACATGAAAAGGTTTTCTGTGCAAATAGCATCTTAAAACAGAATTTTAATCTAAGAAGTTTTGTGTCTAGAAAGTGGCATGTAATCTAGTAGATTTGATAGGAATGCAAGCATAAATGCAGATTATAAAAACACACACACCTTGATGTAGCTCCAGTTTCTATTTGCATCATTTCCGAACACTTTTTTTTATTTACTGAATAAAAAGTTATGATATTGGCTTAGAATCAGGGTAATTTTCATGCACAGATATTATCAGCGAGTTCATAAATGTGTGAAATGGCAAAAACATTTGCAGTTATGATTTTGTTACAAAAGGACATTTTATAAACTAAGAATCCCACGTTTACAAAATGCATATAAATTGATGGACTTTACATAATTTCTTACAAGCTAGTCATACATGTTTAAATGTATGTGACGTGACGAGAGTGTGACACAGTCTCATACAGTCACAATGTTTACTGGGAGAGAAACTAGAGGGTATGAAGATAGATATGTTTATGTAATCTCTATCACACATACTCTCATGCATGTTGCTCAAAATTTCATGGAAAAAAAGGAATAGAAAAACTGTTAGCATTATGGCACTGTTCCAAGATGTGTGCAACAATAATTTCTTCATCTTCATAAAAAATAACACTTTCTGCTATAAATAAATTCCATAGTGTCTTCACTTTCACTAATTTACAATATGGTAATACCATACAGTATCAAACTGAAAATGTCAAACACAAAAACTCAAAAGTTATTGAGATGAAAGAAATTGTAAAAGTTTTTCTTGAAGGCCACTTTTATTGACAGTTTTATTTATTTATTCATTTTAACAGTAAAATTGGTAAGTTAACACTACCCTGATACAGTATGTAAGATAAGTACTCAGTGAGTCTGGATTTCTGTGTGTTCAAAGGATACCTGTTTTTTAGATGGGTTTGGACATGTTGTAAAATATAGGGCTCAGATGTTGATGTAAGGCACTCTTAGTAGATAAAAAAAAGAAACATTTGGCAAAAAACTTTCTATCTGATCAAATTTTGTCAGTCTGTCTGTTTTATAGATGGTTTGAAAACTGTCATATTTGTCAGTATATTTAAGTGTATTTTTTTAAGTTCATCACAGAGTACCCCATTTATCTATGTGTAATCAGGGTCCATTTGCCTAATGGAGTCACAAAAGTTGTGTTATGCTATCAAGTACAGACCTCTTACACATAATCCTTATTGGTAGTAGTAGTACAGGGCCTTTTTACCCTCTATTACAGGGGCCGGTATAGGGCTGCTTCCCCAAAGAAAATTTCTTTAAAATCATGCAGTTTTCCCCAAATATTGAATTTACATCAAGTTTTTTCTTCCCCTTTTGCAAATATACCATGTAATTTTTCGGGCCGGTCAAAAACGCAGACGCTTATGCAGACAATATAGAATATATAGTAAAACGCAGACAATATAGATATAGAGTGTTTTCACAAAACGCAGACGATATAGAAATAGAAGGTGTGAATTAGACTCTTAACTGCTTGTCACCACTTTTTTTTCCAGATTAACTTTATAAAATAAGAGATTTATAAGAATTATTATTTGATACAAAAATAACATTTTAATTAGAGATTAGAAATGTTTTTATTTAAATGTTTTATTAGTATCATAATATCAACAATAAATATATAAATAGTGATATAAGAAAGGGTTTTTAACCAGGTTTTCAATTTTGAAAATCCTGGTTATTAGATTGGGGTATGGCGGGCGGATGGGCGGGCGGGCGTCAAACGAAATTGTGTCCGCTCTGTAACTCTTCAACCCTTTGAAGAATTTTGATGAAACTTCAGACAAATGTTTACCACATCAAGATGACGTGCAGAACGCATGTTCCGCATGGCTGGCTCCAAGGTCAAGGTCACAGTGACATTAACATTGAAAATCCTGTCCGCTCTGTAACTCTTCAACCCTTTGAAGAATTTTGATGAAACTTCAGACAAATGTTTACCACATCAAGATGACGTGCAGAACGCATGTTCCGCATGGCTGGCTCCAAGGTCAAGGTCACAGTGACATTAACATTGAAAATCCTGTCCGCTCTGTAACTCTTCAACCCTTTGAAGAATTTTGATGAAACTTCAGACAAATGTTTACCACATCAAGATGACGTGCAGAACGCATGTTCCGCATGGCTGGCTCCAAGGTCAAGGTCACAGTGACATTAACATTGAAAATCCTGTCCGCTCTGTAACTCTTCAACCCTTTGAAGAATTTTGATGAAACTTCAGACAAATGTTTACCACATCAAGATGACGTGCAGAACGCATGTTCCGCATGGCTGGCTCCAAGGTCAAGGTCACAGTGACATTAACATTGAAAATCCTGTCCGCTCTGTAACTCTTCAACCCTTTGAAGAATTTTGATGAAACTTCAGACAAATGTTTACCACATCAAGATGACGTGCAGAACGCATGTTCCGCATGGCTGGCTCCAAGGTCAAGGTCACAGTGACATTAACATTGAAAATCCTGTTTACATGATTTTAACTTGATTTGGCAGTCAAAGGTCATATCATCTTTGGAGGTAATTTAAAAAAGATATGATATATTATTTCATGTCTACTTTGTAACTTGAAAATTTTAAAAAATTTGAACTTTTCACAGAACCTTGATCACCAGGTGCCCTGCGGCATATTGTCGGGGTTTTGCGATTGGATAATATTTGACCTAATTATTGCCCTTTGTTTTTTTTCCTTATATAGAATATATAGTGAACAATTTCTTCTGTGCTGAACTCCCTCTACAATTCTCAACGGATTTTGTTCAAACTTTCACAGAAGCTTTGTCATCATGTGCCCTGGCGCATATTGTCAGGGTTTTGTGATTGGATAATATTTGATCTAATTATGGCCCTTTGTTTTTTTTCCTTATACAGAATATATAGTGAACAAATTCTTCTGTGCTGAACTTGTCCTACATTTCTCAACGGATTTTGTTCAAACTTTCACAGAAGCTTTGTCACCAAGCACCCTGGCACATATTGTCGGGGTTTTTGATTGGATAATTTTTGACCTAATTATGGCCCTTTGTTTTTTTTCCTTATACAGAATATATAGTGAACACTTCTTCAGTGGCAATTCCTCCTACATTATTCATGTTTTACATTGCACATAGTTACATTGTTTGTTGCTTGTATTTGTATTTCAAATACAACATATTTATCTGCAATGGTGATAATTGAAAACCTGGTTTCATGGCATTGCCATGTTTCTTGTTTTATTCTATGTTAGATTTTAATTAAATTAATTTGAATTAATATCAATACCTATAAATCTCTAATATCTGAAAATTTTGATCTTAAAACTACAAATCTAAGCAGCTTTGAAGGGTGTAATTTACCCCTTCTTATTCTATATTGTCTGCGTTTTGTGAATACACTCTATATCTATATTGTCTGCGTTTTACTATATATCCTATATTGTCTGCATAAGCATCTGCGTTTTAGCCTGTGCCTAATTTTTCCCCAAAATTAAGGGCTGGGCTGCTTCCCCAACTTGTGAAAAAAAGCCCTGTAGTATAATTTATGATAAATGAAGGTCCATCTGCCTGTTAAAGCACAAAAAGAAGTCTGTCCAGAGCCTGTATATGTCAAAGGTTTTATCTTGAAGCTCAAAGTGGCCATAGTTTAATACCTTTGAGCAGTTTCCACAAAGTGTTAGCCATAGAGCTGAATTTTGAGTTGAAAGTAGGTTTCTGTGCAGCGGTTAATTAGACCTTGATGTACAGGTAACCTGTGAAGATAATGAAGGATGTAGCCCT